GTTTGACTTTGGGACCTGAAACAGACGGAGTTTAGGACCCAGATTACTCCGCGAGGCTCCAGACTACGGCAGCTGTAATGCTCCGACAAGCAATCAAGCGGTGCAGCTTCGTAGCTTAGCAACGTCATACTAAAACATTTTTGACAGCTCTGCGTGTCGTGTGCTACAAAATCGGTTCGTGGTCAGTAAGCACAACCAGAATTCACACATAAGGCGCACTGTTGATTTGTGAGAAAATTAAAGGATTTTAAGTGCGCCTTATAGTGTGTAAAGTACGTTCTACACAAGATATGATATGGATTTTAGGCCATATCGCCCAGCTCTACGAGCACCATCACAGACCTGAAACAGATCAGGACTTATTCCGGAAAGCTTCGCAGCCCATAAGCAGCAAGTCCAGTTTGACAGTACGGCAGCTGTGTTTGACGAGTAGAGCTCGCTGGCTCTTCATCAGGGAGAGGGAGACTCAGGCCTGACGGAGTAGCCGCCAGCCTCGCTCAGAGGGAATGCTCGGCATGCCCGACGCTTACGTAGTTTAACAGACTGCTATTTAGTTTGATGCTCCTTTATCTTTTCCTGCTCCTCCAGCATCGATCAGCTGTGTGAACGATTGAATAACAGCCACGTGGGAAAGCCTCCCCTCATGTAGGTCACCATCACATAACCGCTCATAAGTTTACCGCACTGGCACACTAACCTACATGTCTGCACAGACTCTCATATTTCCCTGAAAATGGCAAAATATCTGGTCCCACATTAACAGGCCACTGCCCAGCCTCTGCACTCACACGGCGCTGGTGCACGCTGACTGCTCCGCCTCTTCGGTCCTTCGCCAACCAAGCAGAACCAGAACCGAGCGGGAAACTTGAGCACATTCGAGGACTTTGAAAACAAGTGTCTGAGCCTCTTACTGTGAGGATGATGGTAATGTCAGAAAAATCTCCATGATCATCAGAAAAATAAAAGCCTGTAACAGAAACGTATCCATAAAAATGAGTCCATATACAAAATGTGACACTTTCTTTACTGTTTATAGACTTAATCTTAGGAAGACCCCCCCCCCCCAAAACGTCCACTTAC